ACTCACTAAATGACCTTTGCCAAGTCATTTAACTTCTCTGGGGCTTTCACATTTCTGTACCCTTGCAGGTGTTATGTCTTGTATCTGGAATTCCCTAACTTCTCTGACAGGCAAGCTTTTACTCATTGTCAACACTCAGTTTGGCATCATCTTCTCTCTGAACCATCCCCTGACGCCCCCCACCTACACCTGAGCAGAGTTAGGCGCTACTTCCTCTGTGCTCCTGTAGTATGGTAATTATTTACATGAATGTCCCTCTCCTACTCTGCTGCCTTCTTATACCCCTCGCCTTACAGACTATGAGCTTGCAGAAGACTAAAACAGTATTTCCTCTGGTTTTGAAACCCCAGTGCCTGACATGTGGGTTGACATATAGTAAACAGTCAATATGTTTGTTGAATCTAGTGAATGAACTTTATGTCTTTGTATTTCTTTATATGTCGAATGAAGGAGTTAGAAAAGATTGCTGGTTTTTTAAACTTGCAAAACTGGAAGAAGCAGTTTAAAATTGAAGAGAAGCACCAATACATTATAGAAAAAAAGAAGGAAATGTTCTATTTGAAGTAAGAACCGGATTTCAGAAACCTGTCCACTTGACCTCTCCCCTTGGAATACAGTACTAGAAGGTGCAACGATACAATCCAAACACCTTGGACCCAAATCACCATTGCTAATTTCCCTTGCAGCTATAAAATTGTTATTTTGTGAAATTCACTTGTTCGAATAGCAACATTTTTTATTTGAACATTTTTGAAGGAACTTTTCCTAAAATGTACAAAAATATTGACCTGGCTCCTTAAGAAGTAGAGCATGGCACTCGCATAACTGACTCTTTTCTTAATGACTCAGGTCTTCATTAGGAACATTGAGTATTTCACTGAGCCAAATTCACAGAGGCGTTGTTACAACATGTTTATTTTTCTGTATCTTCCTTGTCTGTCTGTTGTCATTTCTCCTCCTGTCCGTATTGCTAACCTAATAGCTCCCTTAGCTAATATCTTCTCAAAGCCCCAGTGCCCTAAATTTTCTTCTTTTATTATAATACACTGTGAGCTAAAATAATGGAAAATAAAGTTTACTTAGAGGTATGTGTTCACAAAAGAATGAGTAGGATTTGAAGAAGTCAATGGTTTTTGTGTTGTCATTTTGTGAGAGTCATGAAGGTTATTTTAGATATTTAGTGGGATGGTGTTACTTTTTGGTTTCTAGGTCCTTGGTTTTGGGGATTGCTAAAGTCGTCCTTCTACATAAATGAGGTATATATGTTTTCCAGAAAAACCATCCTTGGTACAATCTGGGAATGACTGAATGAATGTACCTTGAATGATTCAAAGCATTTAAATCATTTTTTGTTTTACAAAGACATTGATAAAATATTTGAGTATGAATTCCTAATGTACACTCTCTTGTAAATTATACCCAAGTACTTTTTTACTGATAGGTTATATACCTTATAAAACATATCAAAAATAGAAATGAAAAATGGCAACATGAAAACAAATATAAATACTCCTTCTAATATTTTCTGCCCACTTTCCACAGGATTGTCTTGTGCACCCTCTGGGATATACACCCTACTTGTAGATCTCTGCTTTAGATACCTATGTTAGGATATTAATTTTGACTTTAGCCAGGCAAATAAGCTTCTGCCCAAGTGAAAACTAATTTAGCTGATTTTCAAGCTATGAAACCAAATATCTTTATCTTTAGATAAAGAATCTAGAGCTATCTTAACATGTGTTCTAGCATATAATATGTGCACAATATATGTTTGATGAATGCCTATTGAAGGATTGATTAAGTAGTCCATAAGAATGCTTTATAAATTCTTTTAATTAGTTCTTTATTTTTATATGCCTAGCTCATGTCAGGCATCTTTCACAATGTGATCACATATTATTATATTATTATTGGCATGTATATCACTGAGTGGGAATGGTTGTAAGGCACACTGGAATTTCAAAGGCAGTGGCCTTTGATCTAGGTCTAGGGCATTTAACTCCAATGGCAGGTTGGTCCCTATGGAAAGTTTCCACTCATCCAGATCACTGTAGCATAAGACATGGTGAAATCTATGTTAATAAAGATCATCTACGGGCATCTGGGATAGCGGGTGGGGCGCTGGCAGTAGTAGTACTTAAACAATGGTGATTCTCCAAGCTGGAAAAATACCAGTATCTCCACACTGGAAAGGGTGCGCAGAAAAGGAGAGGGGCCAGAAAGGACACGTTTGGGTTGAGTTTCAAGGCGTAGCTGTGCCTTAGGCCCTCTGCTTTCACTGTGCACACTCACCTTGGGCACTCTTATTACCACCTAGCTAGTAAAGTACCATCTATTTGCCTGTATTTCAGACATATGCCCAGCAGCCTACTGGACAGTTCCAATTAGCTGTCTCAAAGGTATTATATCATTTACATGCTTAACTCAATAGTTTTCCCTCAAACCTGCCTGTCCTGAATGTTTCCATCTCTGTAGGTGGTACAACTACCATCCACCTAGATGCAGAACCCTGAAAGTTTTCCTTTATTCCTCTAGCTCCCTCATCCTTTACCCTCATCTACTTGGCTCCATTTCCACTGCCAGCATCAGCTCTATCCTTCTACTTGGACTTCCTAGATCCAATCTCAGTACCTCCAAATCATTTTATACATTTATACCAGGGTGGCATTCACAAATGGTGATTTAGATAATCTATCCTCCCTGCTATGGTCTGAATGTGTCCTCCCAAAATTCATATCACCATGTGAACCCTAATCACCAAGGTGATAGTATTAGTAAGGTAGGGCCTTTGGGAGGTGATTAGGTCCTCTTATGGCAGTGAGCAGAGAAGAAGAAGGAAGCTGTCTTGTGTCTTTTTATCAGGGTACTAATTACATTCACGAGGGGTCCACTTTTAGGACCTAAATACTTCCCAAGGGCCCCGCTTCCTAATACCATCATATTGGGTGTTAGGATTTCAACATATGAATTTTGCGAAATGCAAACATTCAGCTCATGACATTGAGTGAAAGAATGATAGAATGAGGTAGAGGTACAATCCTGGCAATTTACTTAAAGGGCTGATATAAGAATTGAGATAATTTTTGTAAACTGCAGGGCATGATTACCTGGTATTTTGATGTGGCCCATGTGATATAGTCATTATGTCATGCTCAACTGTACCCATCAAAATACTTTGCTATATAATAATAATAATAGTTAGTACTTTGGAGTATCTTTTCCCATATCCAACATTCTTCCAAATGTTATAGGAGAATTACCTTATTTAGTCCTCATAAAGAAACTCTATGATGTGTTTCTCTTATCATTCTCATATTATGAGGCAACCAAGACATAGAGGGGTCAACTAACTTCACCAAAGTCACACGACTGAACAAAGTTCAGCATTTTGCCATTTTGGTGATTCTACGACACAGTCTCTCATTTATTCCTAATAGTTTTATTTGAGCTTTATTTCTTCCCCATTAAAGAGTAAGATATTTAAATTTAATTAAAGGAATATTTGTTGACTCATTCACCATGTGAGCAATATTAACAACTGTGTGAGGTTAACAAATATTTATCACTGACTATGACTTTATAGAAGAGTGCTGTAACTTCTTGATATTTCTGGACCTTAACATCTTTGTGAGAGAATTAAAATAAACAAAGTGAGGGATAATAAAGCAATAAAAAAGAATTTTCCAGAACAGCTGCGTTCTAAACAACTCCTTTGAGTACAGATTACGCTGCAGTAGACAGTGAGGCTTCCTAAATGTTTGTTCTGTGGTGGTAATGCCCTCATCCTCAGAATTCATCTGCTTCCATCAAGCCGGTTCTATAATAAACAGTCCAGTCCCCTAGAAGAGTTTTCAAGAGAGTTAAGGCAATTTCATACAAACCATTTCTGAAATCTCTACATTTTTTTTTTTAAAGCATTTGTTAGTTATGGGTCATTGGACAAAATATCATTTGTCTTTGGAAGACTGCAGTCTGAATGACTGTCATCCGAAACTTTGAAGATTGGCTTTTTCAGGATGATTGAAATCAAGTTTGAATGCACTGGCTACAGGTAAGAGATGGATTCTTTTCAATCAATTGGAATCTATTCCAATGGGTTTTTGAGGAAATGAAATTCCTGGACTATTATTAATGATATATCTAGAAAGGTGAAGCCAATGTACATTTTCTCCAATTTTGATAACATCACTATGATTCCTCTTGTCCTAGAGAGTCAAAGAATGAGTTCCTTCTAGCTTTCTACAAATGAATTCTGCATTTCACTGACAATGAAATAAAGAACAAACGTTATATGAATATATTATTAAAGTACTTTGTATCTGTAAATTACTGTACACTCGTTATTGTTGGCTCATCAGATTACGACACAATCAGAACGACCCATTCGTGCACTGAGTGTTGATCAGTTTTTTACTTCCGACCGCACATTTATCTCCCCACGAATATCACTGGTCCAGTGAGGCATGCAGCCTGCAATAGGCCAGTCTGGGGACCTGAGCCCCGACACCCTCAAAGGCGTCAACTTTGCTTGCCTGGATGCCTGGGTTTACGAAACTGCAACTGGTTCTACTTGCTCAGGTATCCTGGTTCTACCTGATCAGGAATCCTGTTTGACCGAAAAGTGATTTCAGAGTCAGAGTCAAAGATTAAGAGATTAAACGCTCAGTTAGGGGCTCAGGGTTTCAAATGCACTGTCCCACCAGGAAAGTTAGTATTTTTTCGTTTTTCTTCGTCACCCTAAAGATTTCTACTTCCCTGGGGCATTTCCAGAGCTTCTGGGGAGACATCTGGGCAGCCAGGGGCCAGCCCATTCGCTCCCTTTTCTCAGCCCGTGGAGGGCGTAGTGCCCGGGTGGGGAGGCCGCGCCAGCCCAGTCAGGCTTTGGCCTCCTGACCCAGACAGCCTCGGACCAGAGGGAGCGCTCGGCCGAGCCTGGGTCGCGCCGCCCCCCTCCTCGGGGCTGCCCGCCAAGAGTTCGAGGCCTCCCCGATCCGGATGTGATGAAAAGGAGCAGCAGAGGGAGAAGCGTAGAGTGTAGGAGTGGTGGAGGGTGCGAAAGGGAGGCAGAGGGGGGGAAAGTCCCCCTCGGAGGGGAACTGGCCGGAGTGAGCTGGCTGGAAAGAGGGGGCGGAGTGCGCGGAGTCAGAGCAGCCGCCGCTGCCGCAGTTGCCGCCACTGCGGCGTCTAGGCTGAGCCGGCGGGAGGCGGGGAGGGACGCGCAGGGGCGGCCGCCACTGTCGTCAGGCCACCGGGGCGACATGCGGCCGCTGCCTGAGCCTCGCTAACTTTCTGGGCGAAAGAGGAGGAGGAGGAAGGGGCTGTGAGCGACTGGGGGGATGCCGAGGTAGGTGGTGGTCTCCGGGCCGAGAAGGAGGGGTTCGATCTCCATCCCCGAACCTCTCCCAAAGCCGACCTCTCTTCCCAGCACCCGCCCGGCTTGGTTCCCCCCGGGACTCCCCGGGCCCTCCGCCGCTGTCAACTTGCACTGGGGCGGTTTTGCTCGCTACTTTCAAATCAAAACTTCCCCGGGGTGGAGTTTGGGGAAGGGCAGCGGAGGGGGAGGGGATGTCCCGCAGTGGGGTGTGCTCTTCTCTAAAAACATTTTTTTCCCCCTCCAGAAGCAGTCAGTTCCCTGCACCCAACACCTAACAGCCCTTCCTCCGTGCGCCCCGCGGGGCGGCAGCTAGGCGGCGGCGCGGCTCGGCGGAGCGGCCCATGTCCGGCGCGGGCGAAGCTGTCGCTCCCCGGCCCGCGGGGCCGCAGCGCGCGGCCGAGGCGGGCGGCGGCCGGCTCGGCGCCCCGGCCCAGGGTGAGTGCGCGCTTGCAAGTTGCAAGCTCCTTTCGTTATTGCATTTGTCAGTTTGCCCACACACGTACTGGAGGGGGGACGGTGACGGTGCCGTGAGGATGGTTTCCAACCTCGTAGTTGTGAACTTTCGCACAGTTCGCATTATTCAAGCAAGTTCTACAGGATTCCTGCCCTGGATCAACAACCGGATAAGAGGGCGGGATCCGCTGGTCCCTCCACTCCCCCTTCCTTTGGCTGGGAAGAAACAGGATGACAGGATTGCTTTTTTCTTAAGCATATGCATTTCTGGGCCTAAGACTCAAATGTGAGTTCTGAAGCACTTCCCTAAGTCTCTTCAGTTCTTGTGTGCTGATCAGATCCAGGACTGGCGCTGCTCTCTGAACAAGCATGCACCCTCCCCTCTCATCTTTCTGTTTCTTGTGGGCTACTCTGCAAGCCGTTTGACAATCCAGGTTTCTGTGACCAATTGCTTTGGAATGGCTTATGCATATGTTTTCAATAACTGCTTTGTTTTGAAATAAACATGCTTTAAAAGAAACACTTTCCAAGAATGAATTAGCTCCTTTGTGTTCTTCCAAAGTGTAAACACATACAGCCTGTAAAAGTAAATAAGTACTCTTGTGTTTGGGAAACTTCCATAACAAGCTTATAAACAAGTTAGACAGTATCTTTCCTCTCTTGAGGTTAATATGCTTCAGGTTTTCACTGGGGACAGAGAACAAGGTTCTTAAACTTCTCACGCATTTTACTTTAAGTATGGATCTGATTTAAAGAGTTCTGACACTGATATATCAAAACTAAGTACTTTTCCAGGGCTCAAAGCCTACCTTATACCCTTGGTTTTAAGCATATCTTGTAGCTTTTTTTCCTCCTGTAATAATAATGTAGTGAGCTTCACAGGATTTTTTTTTAAGGCAGCAAAAAGTGGAAAAGAAGTTGTTACTTAACGTTCAAGCCACAATAAGTAAAAGCAGAAAACATCCATGGTTAAATTACAATGTTCTGCTATCCAGGGCTGTTAAATTGAATTACATTTATTGTTGTTTTTTTGCTTCTAAAGAATGACTCATTTTTCTAATAGAGAAAATAAAAACGATTAGCTGCAGAACATCAGAAAACTAGAATGATAAACATATGTTTTCCCAGAAGCAGCCCATGTTCTACACATTGTATTGTCAACACAATCATTTTCCTGTCATTAGGCATGCCCTCAGTAGTCATATCGACTCTTTGATGGGCTGTGTATGCTCATACTTGAGCAGTTAATCATTATTGTTAAACAAGTCTTATGTCAAAAATCAACATCAAACACCCAGGGAAAACAGTTTGATTTGAAAATAGGTAATATCTACAACATCCGACTTTAATAATTTGCATTTTCAAATCAGCTGGAAGAACTTGCAGTGGTACTTAATGCGCCTGTGCAGTGTGAGGCTGTATGGTACGATGTGATCTAACCTTAAGAAGCAGGGCATCTAGAATGTCTTGAAGTACGATGTTTGCTGTGTACATCACACATTATCAGTGTGGAAAATCATCGGTTATATTTTACCAGAAAATTGCCTTAGCTTCAGCAACATAGTTACATGTTGCTTTTTTATTAGTTTAACTTTGACTCATAATATTCTTTAAGTAGGGATCAATTTAATCACAAGTGTATTTTAAAATTAATTTTTAAAAGAGAAAATCCTTGGAATCTTGTTAAAATATTGTATCTCAAGCAGGTAGATTTCATAAGGTGTATTTAAAGAAAAAAATTTTGGTGAGTGGGTAGAAAAAAGCTTCAAGTGTAGCTTGCCATCGTTGGTTTTATTGGTAAAGATGTTTGTGAAGAAGCTTTGCTCAAAGGCCACTATTAAGCCCTTTCTCAAGTTCTTTTATCCTTTCTTTCTAGCCGTGGATTCTTTATCATCCTTTCTGAAGAATTATTTAATAATTCTCCCGTAGGACATGGCTATGTAGTTAATTGAAACTTAATTTTATAATTCTGTATATTAAAGTTGGTGAGAAAAACTAAATGCTTTGTAAAAGTTAACAGAAAATATCATTTCATGAAGAAGGATATGGTCAAGTCTTCCTCTGCAAGCAGATATATATATATATGTATACACAAAAAAAGACATTATAACCTATGCATATATTCTGTACTATGTTATATTGAGCATCTATATTGTTAACCAAAGGCATGGAACCTTAAAGTTGAAAGTAATTTTAGGAATTCTCTAGTCTGAATGCCCTGTCAAATCTAAGATGCTGTTCTCTATCCTTTTCGGTGGTTGGTTAGTAGCCTACAGTGTAGCCCATTCTAAGTATCAGCCTTAGGAGTTAGGAAGATTTTCCTTATTAAGAGCCTTACTCTCCTTCCTTAAAACTTCTACATTTTTGATATGATTCTGCAAGCCTTATTATTGCTTTGAAAGCATTGGAAGTCTTCCCCATGTGTTTTTAAAAATTGTTACAGAGTAGGGACATAAGCTTATGTGCTCCAGGCTGTCAGAGGGAACCAGGATGGTTGTCAGACAGTAGAGAGCAGTGGGGATTTCGGGAACTGGAGAACTCATGGGCCAGGAGGCAGCATTCCTCAGTTCTAGTAATTGTTGCCATGTGAGTTAGTATCTTCCAGTATTTCAAGTGATATTGGAAATCTGGATTTTCATGTATCATCTCTTCATTTTCAAAAGTTGGCAACTAATTAAATATAATCATTGTCCAGGCCAAACAAAACAACCACACCTGCAGGCTGGATGTGGCCTATGAGCAGCTGATTTGTGATCTCTGTTGTAGAAAATAGAAATTAAATGTGTAATTTAAAACTATTTTCCTATTTATGACTAGCTTGTGAAATACTGATTTACTTTCTCATGTGAAGTACCTGTATGAATGTCTTGATAGGTGAAGGACAATTTGGACCATACTTAACTTTTGTTTTAAGAAAGAATGGATCTTGTATGTGTGATTCCTCTAATTGTCATTTTTCCCTTTTTGATTAAGCACTTTAAAATTGTGTTATCAAGCAACATTAAAAGTGTAGGTATTTGCTCTGTGGTATAGTAGTTACTAGAATCCCTATAATTGAAAGAACCTTTAAATTAAATGCTTCTTTCATAAGTTTATTTATAACTAGAGGGATCTTTAGAAATAGTTTAGTCCAACCTGCTCATTTTTTTAAATAAGGGAAAGGACATCCAGAAAATTTAAGTGACTTGCCCAAGGTCTCATACACAGTCAGTAGCAAGAAACTAGGGTGGAAGCACAAATTGTAAAATATATGTCATTGTGATAAAAGCAGTTGAAGTGGAGAATCAATACAACTTTTTTATAGAGGTGGATGCATTGAAGATAATAGGCTTCGGATATTGTGAATCAGTTGAGCCTGTTCCCTTCCCTGTATCATCTCCCCAGCCCCCACCCCATTGCGTTTGCCAAGATGTAGACGGTTGGACTCTGAGTGCTGGAATATACTTTAATGTGATAATGTGTGATTTAATGCACTTTTCTCTCTTGGGAGAGTCCTCTGAGACTATTAGGCGGACTTTTCATAGCAGGATGCAAAATGCCATTGAAGTTAATTAAAAATAATCTAAAATAGAAGCTAGGGAGAGAATCAAGTTGAAATTACGCAAGAAGAGCTTTGACTTAGAAGCTTAACTGAATTGTCAGAAGTTTATAGTGGTTAATCAGATTTTCTTTTTGGGAAGCCTGTTTGTTTGAATGTATATAATGTATGCTTGTAGGTATCTATATTCTACTTTTATCATATTATTTTATCCCCTTAATTAAGCATGGCATTTCTCAAAATTTGTCATTTTGGAAAGCTTCTAATCCTGTTTCTCAGTTCGGGATGATTTTGCCCTCCAAGAGACCTTTGGCACTATTTGGAGACATGTTTGGTGGTCTTTACAGGGGTGAGGTGTGTGCCACTGTCATCTAGTGAGTGGAGGCCAGAGACACTGCTAAGCATCCTACAGTGCATAGGATGGGACAACCTTCACAACAAAGAGTGACCTGGCCCAAAATGTATGTCGGTAGTGTTGAGATTGAGAAACCCTGCTATACTAATCTCCCAAGGCAACTGAAGTTTTTGGCTTCACCCAGACTTTCAGAATCTTTGGGTCTGAGACACGAGAATCTGCATTTTAAACAAGTTCCAGGTGCTCCTTAACTCTAGTTGAGAATCACTGCTTTGCAGGCTTTTATCTGTAAAAAGACGTTATATTGATAGACTTTTAAAAACAGTCTTTTTTAGGGGGTGGGGGGCGGAGAGAAAAGGCTTCAAAAATCTCCTTTTTCAAGTTCCAAAATTTAAATTATTACCACTCTATGTAAACTCTCTAATAACACTCTCAAAAATTTTTATCACATACCCTAGTTCATCCTCAAAATACTCTTGCATATTCATCCTCAAAAATGTTTATTTGTTTTCAAAATTATATGTACTATAATACAAATATATTTTGAACATTATGAAAGAAATACATTAGTAAAAATTAAAAAAGATAAGAGAATAAATAAATAGAATTTTAATACTTTCTTTTACTACCTCAGTAGATATGCTTATCTTGCTACCCTATACTTTGGAGACCCCAGGATATGGGAAAACAAGGAAAAAAGTTCCCATTTTTTACATGAGTTGTGTTCCTTTGTAAGTAAGATTTTTGGAAACTGGATTATACTTTCTCGTAGAAACAGCATGGTAAATTATATTTAGTTCCATAATAAATCTCAAAAAGTTGTTGGAAGTCAATTTTATTATTTTTTTTTATTCTTACAGTGATAAATCACAGAGAACATACTATTATAATACTGTATTTATATAATAACACAAATACAAATGGCCAAGAAAAAAATCAAACTGAATAGAAACTGGTTTAAAACACTTTTTGAATATAGGTGCTTGAGGAAGGACAATCCTTAATTAGAAAAATATAGGGAGACTTGTCTAGATTTGAAAGGATTTGGGTACCATTTCGAGCACCTTAGAACTAACACTTTTAATTCTT